TTCCACAGAGCTGTATCTTTATTATCATACCTCCACCACCACTTTAATAACAAGCATTCATTCACCTCACCTAAATCTCTCACACCCAAACCTCTTTGACTTTTGCTTTTGGTGACCTCCTTCCATTTGACCAAGTGCACTTTCCTTTTATTATCATTCCCTCTCCATAGAAAAGATGATTGCAACTTGACTAAGGATTTATTAACACCCTTAGGCATTCTAAAAAGAGAAAGGAAATAGGTTGGCAAGTTAGCGAGGACTGATTTGATCAAAGTCAACCTCCCAACATAAGATAGTAATTTCCTCTTCCAAGAAGACAATTTTTTCTTCACCTTCTCCACTATTGGGTTCCATGTGCTCTGTTTCCTAGGATTGGCCCCTAAATGTAGACCTAAGAAAGAAAATGGCAATTTCTTGGTTGAGCAATTCAAAATCTTCTCAAAATCCTTAGATTGATCATCTTGGAAGCCCACTCCACAAAATACACTTTTATGATAATTGATTCTTAACCCAGACATCACCTCAAAACACCTCAACACCCTTTTTATCAGAATATACTCATTATCACCTTCGGAAAATATAATAGTGTCATCTGCAAATTGAAGATATGAGACATTCACATCATTGGACCAACAGTAGCACCCCTAAATACCTGCACTTTAGCCCTAGCTAGTTACAGATTGAGACATTTTGTTGTAATAATGAACAAGAATGGAGATAGAGGATTCCCTTGCCTTAACCCCTTTTGTGGTTGGAACTCCTCTGTGGGTGCACCATTAACCAAAACTGACACCAAGGTTGTAGAAATACAAACCTTCATCCACCGAATCCTTTTGTTACCAAATCCAAAATTTCTCATCATTGCCAACAAGAATTCCCAATTTATTGAATCGTAGGCTTTCTCAAAGTCCAATTTCAGGATAATGCCTTTCTTCTTAGATTTTTTCCACCCATCCACAACTTCATTTGCTATTAGCACCCTATCTAAGATATACCTGCCACTTACAAAAGCTGACTGCACTTCACTTATCATAGAGGGAAGAACCTTCTTTAGTCTTCTAGATAGCACCTTGGCCAGAATCTTGTAGACTGAGGTGACCAAGCTGTTGGGTCTATAGTCCCCCAAGCCTATGAGATTGTCCTTCTTGGGAATGAGCACAATGAAAGAACTGTTGACACCCTTTGACAACTTACCATTTGTGTGAAACTCATGTAACATTTGAATTATATCTCCTTTCATTATTTTCCAACATTTTTGAATGCAAGCTAGGTTAAAACCATCTGGAGTAGGGGCCTTGTTCCCATCACAGTCTTGAATAGCTGCCCAAATCTCTTCTTCAGTGAACAATGCTTCTAAACTAACTGCTGCCTCAGAACTAATTGTAGCAAAAGGGCCTAAAATTTGTGGCCTGAAGATCTAATTTTCTGAGAAATGCTTTCTGAAGTGGCTAACCACTGCTTGTTTCACCTGAGCGGTTCCTCATAGCTCACTCCCTCCACTAGAACCGTATCTATTAGATTCATTTTCTGCCTATTACTTACCATGATATGAAAGAACCTAGTGTTTTTGTCTCCATTTCTAGCCCACAGCATTGTAGATTTTTGGTGCCATAGCCTCTCCTTGTTGCTGCTATGCTTCCATACCTGACATCTGACCTCTTTTCTTCTTGTTATTTCTAGCTCATCCAGGGGCCTAGACTCGGCCTTCAAATCCCATTCGTGTAACTCTTGCTTTGCTGACTTCAGATTGGTATCTATATTGCCAAACACCTCCCTATTCCACACCCTCAAGGTGTGTTTGTTTTGAAGGATTAGGGTGTGTGATTGGACTATTGAGACTAATAGTTCATTGTTTGTTTGAAAAATTTTGCTCCGGACTATTAGTCCCACAAATATGGGATTATCCTATCCCATTGGGGAGGGTGGGATAGAAACCATGGGATTGGTATCCCATGGGATTATTTTGTGAAATATCCATTTTACCCTCCATGCTATTACTTAGCAAATTAAATGTCTTAATTTAAAAATAAAATAATTTTATTTAATTTTTATTTTTATTTTTGTTTTATTTATTTTATTTTTTAAATTTTTGTTTATATTTTATTTAATTTCATTATTTAAATTTTAATAGATGTTTTATTTTATTTCATTATTTAATTATTATTATTATTTAAAATAAATTTATTTAAAATTTTAATTAAAAAATAACATATATTTATATTTATATTTAATTTATTTAATTTTAAAAAAATAAATTTATTTAATTGTGCAAAAAATAAAATAAAATAAATTTTTATTTAATCTAGCTAAAAATAATTAAAATATTAAAGCTATGTTTAATATTGCTATTACTTAGTAAATAATTGAAAATGATAAAATAGTCATTTGAGCATTTATCATTTTCCATAATATCCCAAACAAACATTGGATTCACTAAAAATAGTTGAATTCAGACATTTAATCTCATGACCAAACAAACATACGATACAAATCCAATCCAACGAAATAGTTTGGGGACAATGTATCCCAGGACTAATAGTTCGATGGATTACAATCCCCTCTTATCCAGTCCGTCGAAACAAACACACCCTCAAATCATGCCTTAGAAAGTATAACTTCCTCGTTAGTCTATATCCTGCCCACCCTATCACCTGTGTGACCTCCCAGACCTGTTTGATTTCAACTAAGAAGGTAGGATGTGTTGTCCAGGAATTAATGAACTTAAATGATTTAGGCCCTCAATCCCTATCATCTTCCTTCAGCAAAATTAGACAATGATCTGAAATTGTTCCAGGTAAGCCCCATTGTTTAAAAGAAAACTTTTCCAGCCATAGGGAGTCTAACAGAAATCGATCTATCATGCTCCACCTCTCCCTTTCTAATGTATTACACCAAGTGAACTGTCTACCTAACATAGGCAGATCAGCCAGCTCCAACTAATCTACAAGCTCATTGAAGTCCTTCATCCAATTCTCTCTTCTTGAACACCCTTTCCTCTCGTACAATAATCTGATCTCATTAAAATCACCACCCAAACACCATGGGTTTGGATAATGGGGGTAAGCTCACAAGAGAATCCCATAATTTTTTCGTTTTCAACACCTCATTTGGAGCATATTTATATTAATAATCACACAGTCAAAAGATTGAGATGAGGTACCTGAGAGTATAATAAAATGCTTGCTGCTGCTATAGTCTTTTAGTTCAAAGACTTGTGGCCTCCAAATGCACAGCAACCCACCTGCACTTCTTTCTGAGTCCACCATCATGTAACCCATCTCTTCATAAGGCCACATAGATCTCACAAAATGCTCCTCCATTGAATTTCTTTTTGTTTCTTGTAAGAGTAAAACATCAACATTTTTTACCTTCACCAAGTTCTTTATTTTGCCCCTCTTTCGTGGCCTTCTCAGCCCTCTAACATTCCATGAAAAAATCTGCATAATAAACTTACAGTTTTCTTCTTAATCCCCTAATGGCAATCAGTTAAGTTTTGACTGCCCCTTCCTCACCTGCAATTCTTTGTAAATCATTTTCTTCTAGTTCCACTATCTTGCTGGCTATCTCATTTTGTTGACCTTGGCATTGCAAACCCAACAGTTTTCCAATCTTCACTGTTGCTTGTGCTTCCTCGAGTATATTTTTCCTCCTTTATATTGCATGACTTTGGGATGTAGAGAAAGAGATAGCAGCAACTGCTGCTACTACTAATGCTCTGAACAGAACTCCTCTTTGAAAGCCAAGTCTTCCAACCATGCCTTTTTGTTTGCTATGGCCTCCGGCAGAATTGATGCCTCTCTTTATCCCATACCCTTTTTCCATGAATTGCAGACTTTTTTTACCAGCTGCAACCTTACCCTTTATGCCTTTCCCAACCCTCTTGACCACACTCGATTGGGATATGTGGAAGAAATGGGCCACAAATGATTTGAGATGGGACTGGGCCACATAATCACTCAAATCCGATCCTACCCCCAATTTCAATCTGCTGGGCTCAGGCCCAACCTGCAGGCCTTCAAGTAATACTTCCAAATTTATATTGGGTGTTACCCCCTTTGGCCCACTCATAGCACCTACAAGTCCTGTAGTGCCAAAAGCCCCATCCAATTTTTGAATTTTACTCATCATTACCTGTTGTAAGTTGACTTCCTGATGCATGGCCTACTCCTTGGACCCTGCACCTACATTACCATTTCCCATGCTAACCTCTATGACAGCTTCAGCTAGTGCATACTTACCATCATATCCCCTACACAGCTCATCTGATCTATCTGCCACTGTTTCCAATACCCTACTATCCTCATCAAATCCACCTACCACCTTATTCTCTCTTGCTGCAATAACTCTGTAATCACTCTTTGTATTACCACTATTGCCAGACACCTGATCCACCTCCACATTCTTATTTCCTCTAGAGTTCAAATGTTGCTTCTCCTTACCTCGGCTTTCACTGAAGCTAGGAAATAAACAAATTGGAAGTTCTTCACACCCCTTACTGGTATATATTTACTTTTGAATTCTAGAAAAATTACCAAATTAATCAACTCCATACACCTTGTAATTACTTGAAATTTTCCTTGTTGAAAAGTTTGTGGGTTATTAATGTCCTCTTTAAATTGAACTACTGACCCCCAATGACTACCAATGCTTCTAAAAGTCGTAACAGTCAAAAGATTGATTGGAATGCCAAAACAGTTTAACTAGACACATCTCTCTTGCCCTACATATTGGCTATTCCCCCATTCTCCAACTTAATCACACCATTTCTTACCCCACCTACCTAGTTGTTCCTTCCCTTCCTACATATGTTGGACAGAATTAAAGGTTAGCAATACTATTCTTCCTCCACTATCCCTGGCAACCACATCCCTCATTTCCCTGTTACATAGTTTTGCTTTGAAATCTTTAAGAGCTAAAAAGCTGCTCAACTTCACTACTAAGCTTTCATTAGCTCTTATCACCACTCTCTCACTCTCACTTGCTTCTCCTTTTACTAATGCTTAAGCAAATGATGGCTTAGCTCCAATATCATGCCACTGCTCCCTTTGAGGTCGCTGGTGCATCATTTTGCCATTATCTCCTCTGTTCAGCACCCTCTTCTCCTGGTGACCCAGTGCATGAGGTTTTTGAAACTCTACTCTTTTAACCTTCAGCGCCTTGTTATCGCACCACAAACCATCAGCCTTTTGAATCGCCATCTCTGCCGCCACCTCGCAATCATATCTAACAAATCCAAATCTGGAACCTGATACTCTTCTGCTCTTCCCTAGTATAAATGCATCCTTGACAATGCCAAATTTTCTAAAAAGAATGAATAATCCCTTGGAATCCATGGACTCTGGGATGTTATCCACAAATATGGTGACCACCACTGCCTCCTTGCGATATCCATACTGATTTCCGGCTTTCCTCATTTTGATCACTAGGTTCCAACCTCCACTCACCATTTCAAATCTCCTTATCTTTTCTTCTTTCCGTGGCAAGGATCTTCAACTTCATATGATTACCTCTGTTATATTGATTGGACTTACTTATCCGTAAATCTTAAGTGTTTTTTTTATATATATTTATTATTATTTAAATTTTACATATAAATCTTGTATGTAACATTGTTTTGATAATAAGAAAATTTTAAGATTTTTTAGATATGTTTTGTGTTTGTAAAACGATTATTGGATAGTTATAACGATCTTAAGAAATTTATTAAAGTAATAAATGATTCGGACATTTAGACTTTTGTTTGTGAATTTTGATTAATTTGTGTTAGTTTGCATTGAAATATAATATGGAAAGTGTAACTAGTTGAATTGTATTTGTTAATTGAATCAGGTGGCCTCATATCTGTCATCCATTCGAATTTAAGCGAATTGAAAAAAAATCAATCCACATCCGTCTGCTTAGTTGGCGGATGCAGATGGATTTAGTGGTTTAGGCTTTACTACTTTTTATTTTTTGATCTATTAATTTTTTACTATTTTGAGCCTTGTTTGAATCCAAAATTTTGTATTCTTTATTTTTTATAATTAAAATAAAACTCAAACTCTCATATTTCATACATAGCTAGTGTTATTACTAAATAAAATGTCCTTTAAAAAAAAATATAAAGCACAAAAATATAATATCATTTTCTTACAGAGGTTTGGCGGATCGCATTGAGTTGGGTGATCACTCATCTGCCATCCGTCCGAATATAGGAAAATTTGAAAAATCTCCAACCGCATCTGTCTGTCCATACTATTGAAACCACTTAAAAACATGTCGATTAGGTCGTATCGATTAGTTTTGGTGAATTCATCAGGTCTGTGAGCACCCCAAACAAGACCGATTCATAACTGTTCGAATTTTCGTTGGTTCATAGGGGAAAGACAGGCCAGGCCACAAACAAAACAGGGCCCTTTGGGTTTTGGTTAAATAATGATGTGTAGGGGTGAGTATGGTCCGAACTGATTCATTTTGGGGTAAAATTAGGATCAATCCGTTGTATACAATTTCATAAAAATTGGAATCAAATCAATTCATTTAAATTATGGAATCAATCTGAACCAAACCATTTCAACACGGTTTAGCTTAGTTTGGAATCACAATTTCACATAATTTGTTCACAAGAAAAATCATATAATATTTTTAAAAATATTCAACCTATCATAAATTTAAAAATAATAATAACATGCTCACTACACAAAAACATAACATTAAGAAAATATTGTTGAACATTAATCTATGGTTTTTGTTAAGGATGTAAGAAAAATCAATAAAACTGAGTTGACCAGTTGAAATCAAACGAAATTTTAGTTTTCGGTCTGTTTTTCATAATATACGGTCTGTTTCAATTTTAAATTTTTTTATATCATTGCAAATCGAACCAACTGAATATTATATTTAAATATTTTTATATCATAATTTCTTGAACATTATATGAGAAGTAACTAATATAATACACTTTTGTGATAAAAATTAGGGAGAAAAACATTTAATAGAGCAATTTTCATATATTTTCTTCATTTATTTTCAATGTAAAATTCTATAATCTATAAAACCTTTTAAAATTTCATGTAAATTTCTCTTCTATATCAAACCAACAAAACCGATAAAATGAAATCGTAGCATACGGTCTATATTGGTTTCTCAATAATAAAAACTGAAAGGATCGGTTCGGTGCTGAATATACTCTTAACATCGACCAAAACGAACTGTTTACACCGCTAATTTTTGTGGTGGGTGAAAATTGAACCACCATTGCTGCAGTGGCACTCCGACGTGAACACGGTGGAATTTGGCCTAAAACACTCAAGAAAATATGAAGAACCATACAGATGAGCATCCAGTGGACTCTCTGATACTTAAGTTACAACACTTGAAAGCAATGGAGTAAGAAAATATAAGAATAGGAGCAACCCAATGTGATTGTAATTAATTGTCTACCTTTTTTCTCACTTGGTATAGTTTTATATAGCCTTGCAAGTGACTGTTAGAGTTGATTCCACTTCCCTTACCACTCCTCATGTTCAATCCATTTTTTCTAGGATTATGTTCCACTATCACGGAATTCTAAGAGTGGTTGGCCCTTAAAGTAAGGACCAAGCTTTGACCAAGTCTACCCCTAAGGGTCATGCCTTCCAGACCTGGCCTTCTGGCCTAGACCCTAGACCTATTTCTCTGGTCCTGGATTTGTATGTCTAGACCTGGACCTCTAGTCTTGGTTCTTTTGGTCTTTTGGTTCTGGATTTACATGTCTGGACCTAAACCTCTAGTCTTGGTCCCCTAGTCTTATAGGCTTGCTATTGTGCTTGTCAGAGTGTATCCTGCGCAGATTCTGCATATTTTCTACTCAGAATAAAATTCTTTATTTTTGCTATCCACAATTGCCCCTTAACTCTGACTTTTCCAAACCTAGCCATATGGGAATGTTGGAGTACATCCAAGTGAAAACTATCCATACTAGAGCGGAAAAATTCAACTGTTGATTAGCAGACATTTTTATACTTAAGTAATTTTAAGTGAAAGAACACAATTACAATCCATACTGGATTATTCAACTTGCTTGTACTTAATTGCTAAAAATTGCATCCACAATTCAAGTTGGATAGTCTAACTTTCTGGTACTTAGGCAATTGCTAGAAATTGGACCTAAGTGAAAGAACAAAGCTGCAATCCAAGTTGGATTGTCCAACTTTCTTGTACTTAGACAATTTCTGGAAATTGGACCTAAGTGAAAGAATATAATTACAATCTATCTTGAATTGTCAAACTTTCTTGTACTTAGGGAATTGCTGGAAATTGCACCTAAGTGAAAGAACATAACTACAATCCGAGCTGGATTGTCCAACTTTCTTATACTTAGGGAATTGTTGGAAACTGCACCTAAGTGAAAGAACATAACTATAACCCGAGCTGGATTGTCTAACTTTCTTCCCTTTCAACCAACAGTTGTTTAGAAATTTTCTGATCTTCCACCCGCTTGATGTACTGGTCAATTTTGATTCATATATTAGAAACTTCTCTTACTGGTTTCTTGGAAAGGGACTGTCATAATTTATCTCCTGGTGGCAAGCCATGCTTAAATGTGGCGATTGCTGCTTGATTTGAATAATTCTCTTCAACTTTATAAAAGGTCTCCTAGTAAAGTTGGGAATGCTGCTTGACGTTGATCTCCTTAGGAGATTTTTGGAAGGGCTAGCAAAGCATTCACATCGTTAGCACACTTGACGTTGATCACAAAGTGCTTCATTTGACTATCTGGCAACTGTTGCCAATTGTCAATAGACCCTTCATGAAGTTGTCAAACCATTGGCTGGCTACTTTTCCTAGGGTAGATAGGAAGACCTTGTACATAAGTGTCTCATTTCTGTTCCAAAAGGACATTATATGGCGGTAGCGACAAAGATGGTCCAAGGGATCTAACCAACCATTGTAAACCTCAAACTTTAGGATGTTGAAATTTTTTGGAGGCTCCATCTTATTAATCCTCCTACTAAAAGGAGAAGTGATCATATTAGGCCTTGGTTCTGCTAACCAGACTGCCATATTTTCCTTCAGAAACTCTTCGGATAGGTGTTGAAGTCCATTGTTCTATTTGGATAGGTGTTAGAACACGCAGTTCTATTTGGACAAGTGTTAAAGCATGTCATTTTGCTCAGATAGGTGCATGAGTAGGATGTTCTGCTCAGATAGATGTCGGAGCATGTTGTTTTGCTCAGGTAGATGCTAGAGCATGCTGTTTTGTTTGGACAAGTGCATGAGCATGATGTTCTACTTGGACAAATGTGGGAGCACATTGTTATTCTCTCATAGTTACAAAAGCATGATGTTCTACTTAGACAGGTGTAGGAGCAGGATGTTCTGCTTAGACAGGTGCATGAGCATGATATTTTACTCGAAAACTGTTCGGTCCGAACTGATTTACAATCTTGAGTTGCCTTTTAGTTCGAGGTTAGAGTTGACATTGCCTTAATTTTTTGACTTGTTCAAACAATTTATCGAGTTGCTTTTCCATTGCATTGATGATTTTGTCTCTTGAGCTAACTTATGCAACTAAATGTCACCTTTTGCTCGATCTTCCATAGGCTAAAACTGCAGCCGGATGCTGCCTTCTAAGTCTAACGGGCTTGTCCATTGAACTGGAGGGCATAAAACATCATGTTCTTCACCGGTTGGTAGGATGTCATTTTCTTTAGTCATTAATGATTGAAAAATGAATGAACTGAAACTAGTAAAGTTTAACGCCCCAAATTTCTAGCCCATATGATAATAATACAATCATGGCTCTTTCAAAGAAAACCGAATATAAATCTCCAAACTTACATTACATGATACAATAGTTCTTCATGCAATAATACATCAATCCAACAACAAATAAACAAATAAATTCCCCAAAGGGTTTACAAATTTCCAAGGCTTAAGCCCGGTTACACAAAATGATTATTCAAACCCACACAAATACAGCCCTTGGCTTACAAAATAGAGTCACGCAAAATGAGAACATTGTACTCCCAACACACATACTTTCACGCCCCTAGTTGGGTGGAATCACCACAACTTTTCCTGCACAAAAACCCCATAGGAAGAGCATAAAGCCCAGTAGAAAATTCTTAACAAAGTATATACATTTTATACAAGCCTCAAGAGATGAAATGCACATGCCATGCTATGGCCTTTTTGAAGATAAATTACATTTTCATCTTTTGAAAACCATCATGCTCAATGATGTCATGCCATTTCAATTGTTCAAAACTTAACAATTTATTTCAAGGGCGGTAAATACAACTCTGGTAATCCCTAGGCTGGTGTCTGCAAGTAAACTATACGAGTACTACCAAATTGTCATTTTTACCGGTATTAACCGAAAGGCTCGACAACTATCCGCGCAAATTTTCAGTCTTTCACCCCGGACGCAGAGGCCAACTTATTCAATATCATCTACACCACCTATCAAGACTTACCAACATAT